TGGATGGCTGGGTGGGTTGGTGGCTGGCTGGGTGGGTTGCTGGGTGGGTAGCTGGGTGGATGGCTGGGTGGGTGGCTGGTTGGGTGGCTTGGTGGATGGCTGCGTGGGTGGCTGGGTGGGTGGCTGGTTGGGTGGCTGGGTGGGTGGCTGGGTGGGTAGCTGAGTGGGTGGCTTGGCGGGTGGCTGGGTAGCTGTGTGGGTTTATGGGTGGGTGGGTCGCTGGGTGGGTGGCTGGGTGGATGGCTGGGTGGGTTGGTGGCTGGCTGGGTGGGTGGGTTGCTGGGTGGGTAGCTGGGTGGATGGCTGGGTGGGTTGGTGGCTGGGTGGGTGGGTTGCTGGGTGGGTGGCTGGGTGGATGGCTGGGTGGGTTGGTGGCTGGCTGGGTGGGTGGGTTGCTGGGTGGGTAGTTGGGTGGATGGCTGGGTGGGTTGGTGGCTGGGTGGGTGGTTTGCTGGGTGGGTGGCTGGGTGGATGGCTGGGTGGGTTGGAGGCTGGCTGGGTGGGTGTGTTGCTGGGTGGGTAGCTGGGTGGATGGCTGGGTGGGTGGCTGGTTGGGTGGCTTGGTGGATGGCTGCGTGGGTGGCTGGGTGGGTAGCTGAGTGGGTGGCTTGGTGGGTGGCTGGGTAGCTGTGTGGGTTTCTGGGTGGGTGGGTTGCTGGGTGGGTGGCTGGGTTCCCTTTCTCCCTTTGTGGACGTTGAACAATTTGTGGCCGTTTGCCAATGCGCACGTCAAACTGTGACCCGCAGCCTCCGCCTGTCTCCTGCGCTCCCACGTCAGCTCCGCTGCTTGCTCCGTCGCTAATGAGCGCCAGTTACACCCTGTCCTCCGCCCCTCCATACATGGGCAGTGTTGGAACATTGCTTTTAAAAACACAACCACCTCCGATTTCTATTTAAATGTGGAGCTTGGTTCATCTGCTAGGTGTAATCTGGCATCGCAGCGAGCACTCCGACTATCATGTGGATTATAGTTGAAACATTTGACGTAATATTCTACATCTGATTTGATTTCCTCCGCTTTGTTTCCCTTCCAACAATCACTGTGACCCTTTAAGAGACGAAAATACCCATTGGAATTACAGTCCCATACACAAACTCATAAAGCACTTCAATTAAAAAAAACATATACAACCATTATCAAAACCATTTATAAAGATGTAACGACAGTGAGCTTGCATGTAACAAAATACAAAACAGTGGAGGATGCAGGCAGGGAGATATGCTCTCACCATAGTTATTTACAGCAACATTGGAACATATGTTATGAAAGTTAGATTGGAGAAATTAATGCTTAAACCTTTTGGAGAAAATAATATCCCTCTCAGATTTGATGATGACGGTCAATTCCAAAATCAGTGAAAATAATTGAAAATAAATGATTGCAGAACTTCACCGAGAAGGATGCAAAGTTGAATCAAGGTAAATATGAGCAGGACAAACGTATTGTGCACCATAACTGCATAGGTCAGAGAGCTAGACAATAAAACTACTGCCTATTCAATACAGGTGGTGCATGCGGAGGATGCCATGGATTTTATATAACATAGGGTTAGCAACTTGGACGTCCATAATACAACATGGCAGTAAAGTATTTTAAATATAACCAGGATTGCAATGTATGGAACACATCTGTGCCTGATGGAAAACCGGTTGCTGAGATTGGTGCTGGAGTTATAAATCAACGGTGAGGATCAAAAGCCAGACAGTGGTGGCGGTGGTGGTGATGATGATGAGACTGAGAGCAGACCATGTGGGTCAGGTGTCGACTTTACACCAACTGCAGACTCTAGCAAGAGAGAGGAAGCGATGGTGAGGTGTGGTGAGTTCAGCAACTCTCGCTATTATGACCTCTTGACCTTGACAGGTTTATTCACAGGTTTACTAAACTGGCCATGGCGTAGCTTGCCCTGCCAGCTTTGCTCACACACGTTTGATTTTCGCAATTTAACACGTAGGTTTTCGCGATCAATATCACCCATAAGAGGTTTTTTTGGGTTAGATCGCGTAAATATATAAATGTGTCGTTATATAAGGAATTAAACAGTTAGACTTCTCCACAAATCTGGCTGTCGCCTGATGAAGATAGTTGTAATTATTGGTGAAATGTCATACTCAGATTGTAAATGTTGTGGCTTGGCTCTCCAACACACCGGTGTGCTGTACTAGTGACGAATTGGCACTTTCTGCTTACATGACAACACTTACTAGTTGGCTGTGTCGGGTGGTGGCGGTTTTTAACGCCACATTTATTGTTTTCTTGATCGCTTGTCCATCTATTTCATAATACTCCTAATGATCCCAACGTAGACACATTTACTGACCCACACTAAACATGTTAGTCCCTTTGCAATTTTTCAGGGCTAATTAAGATTGTCCTGCATACACTGCATGTGTTCTCTACAAAACAGCAGTTCTCCAAAAGGAGGTTGCAATAAAAAAAAAGTTAGCAAAACAGCCTCTTTATGATGCACTGGCTGTGCGGATTGCATTTTGTTACAAAATTTACTTAATAAAACACACACAATTTACTATGTAAATATATATGTGTTAAAACTTGCCTTAATGTTTAATAAGGGTGGATACACAGGCTAACAAAAATGTGTTCAAATCGAAATGTTGTGGACTTGGGACAATTAGCATCACCAACATGGAACTGCACTGCAGGCACAAAACGGCCCTAAAGACAGCCATCAAGGGCAATTTCAGAGGACTGCTGGGGGAGACACAGCGTGATGGGTGCCAGAGCTGCCTCACACCTCACTCTAAGCCCATCACAGACTTACAATTTGTTATTTCAGCCGCTGACAATGAAGACTGGAGGCAATTAAGTTTAAGAGCAATTTTCTTGTATGCAGCTGATCTGTTATCCAGCCCATCACCATGTGCTTATCACAACGTGATATTGAAACGTTTATCTTATACATGTTTGAAATAATATCTTGGACATTTACTCACTGTTTAGAGATAAGTAGGTGTGTGTTTTCACGGAAAAGTGTTAATTTAACATTGAGGTTATAATTTATGACCGCACGTCTTAATGATTTAACATAGCATTGCCCAATAACGTCGCCAATTATATGTTTACCCTTCTTAGTGCCCCCATGATATTGACGAAAGTGTTGGGTTTGTGTTGCATAATGTGCATCACTGCCAACGCAGTGTCACCAAATAATTAGATTCATGATCACGAGCCATTTATTTCCAGGTTTCCAATTTTATTTGTGTTTTATTTTAACATTGCTGGACGCTAATCGGAGCTGCTAACTCAGACCATTAGGTCCAACTTAGATGAGATCACTGAAAGGGTCAGCAAGCAGAACTCCCACACTCAAGCTTACAGATGTTTCAGTTAATTTTCCCAAGAAAAACAAAAATAATGCTCAGAGCAAATTTCTTCATCATTAAAATATATATAAAAATTGTATAATTTCAAGGGTAACTTTAATTTTCAAATGTAATATGTTACTTCTCAAGATGCTGCACAAACAGAGGGAAGAGACAAGGGGGTAGATCGCGTACACTAAGGTGCTGCTGCCTGGAACTCAAAAGTGAAGAGACAGTCATAAACAGAGGTGAGAACTAATGTCTTGAGTCTGGACTTGACCTTAACACAATTGAGCGTGACTTGTTGACCCAGGTCAGGGGTCGGCAACCAAAATAACAAGAAGAGCCATTTCTTTCCAATTCGGTACAAAATTCAGTATTTCAAGAGCCGCAATGCATCTGAGTACATACTGTACATACGTACATATCGTCAAGAAGCAGCCCGTAAAAAGCCGCATGCGGCTCCGGAGCCGTAGGTTGCCGACCCATGACCCAGGTGAAAGCCCATTGTGAGTAATAATAATTTTGGCTTTTGCACATGACTAAGATTTTCGAAAATTGTATCGATTTTGTTGATGGTAATTAGTAACATTTTATTTTGGCCTGTGACAGGATATACATATGTCTACAACTTGTAAGTGAATGCCAACTCAGGTTGTTTCATTTGCCATGCTGTAGCAAATAGCGTGCTCTGATAATTCAGCAGAAATGTTTCCAGGCAGTTGTGAGAATTCAATCTTTAACATATTAACAATAATAACGTAATTTTATATCGCGTAATTCATACTAATTGTATCCCATTATTCTGTACATTAATTATATGAGGACCAAATTCTATATACAGTTACTACCAAGCAAATAAAAACTCCACTACCAAGTAGGGTTAAAAGTGAAGAAGCAAATACATAAATTGCACCAAAATAAGAGAAACAACGTGGCCCAGTGGCTCAGAGGTCAGAGCATTGAGCTGGCACTGCTGAGACGCTGGGTTTGAATCTGGCCAGTCACCTGTGATCAAACAGAGTTCTCAAGTGTGGTGAGCTCACGATCTTAACCCGGTCAATGATCAGACAAAAACCCATCATATTAAATTGGGTTTTTCACTCAAATTGGCTAAATTACTGCCCTGGTAATTAAAAATATTCGTGAACTTTTCTCATTGTAACAAGACAGGTGGAAAAGTGGTGTCCCGTCGTGTGGATAAAAGGTCACTTCAAGGGAACTTGGAAGTAGTTCTGTGACATCTGCTTTTGCAGACCATTCTCTAACATTGAGGGTTGCATGCTCTGTGAGAGTTCATCACAGACATGGTGCTGTCAGAAAAACCAGGATAACATCTTGAAAAAATACTAAAGACGTTAAAACAAAATTCGCGAAGATGCTGTGTGCAATGTTCCCTGGGCTACGCGGCCACCGAACAATCCTCCTGATTGCGCCTTTTGGCATCATCTGGTCCAAACCATGTGAGACTAGGCTCTAAGGAAAGCTGTCTCGGGTGTGGACCAATCAACTTCAAGGACAGTGCATACATTATCAGAGTTATGTTTTTTGTTTGCATTATGACTGCAGGTATTGTGGTCTATGCAAACATGACTCCTTGTAAAAAAAAGATGTCAGTTTTGTTGCCAGATAGAAGGGTAAAAAACCAATTATCAGATCCTCCGAGTCTCACGTACCTTCCTAGGATGAGGTTTGGAGCAAAGTGGAGCTGACCAGGGCGATCGATAGACCTCCAGATGAGCCCCACGATTAAGATCTCCAGCCAGCAGCACTCCAGCAGCTGCACCTGGTCACTCAGCCCGATGGCCGTGAATCCTGCCAGGGATGGTGGTGTCAGACAGGTGGAAAGAGTGAAAATGAAGAAGAAAAAAATGAGAAAAATAATACCTACAACTGAGCCAGTTAAAGTACATTTTCACAAAGTCGGCATTTTTTTGTTCTTCAAATATTACAAGGCTCAAGAGGAACACAACAGGGCATGCATAACATGATTGCTTTCCGCAACTTTGTAACCTAACTCGGTGACACATCCGACTGTGTTCATGATGACAGTGGCACTTCTGATCTTCGAGGGGGAGACAGATCAAAAAAGAAAAACGTCGTGTAAAAATCTCATGTTTGCGCCCCGTTGGGAGTGATTTATACTGAGCGCAACACTCCACAAACTAAGCCAAATGCTAATAATTTTCCAAGTCAAAAATGTTTTTGCAAAATGTATTACATAGGCGAAAAAGTAAAGCAGCATTCATCAACAATTGAAACTCCACAGGAATACTCAGCCTGTGCAGCTGTGCTGACCATGTAAAAAGTGGAAATTTAAAATAAGAGCTTTCTACAAAAATGAAATAGCTAAAATGTATATCCATAACATAGTTTTTTAGGTTACATTGCGTAAATGTAAATGCCTCGTTAAACCCGCCACCACCCAACAAAGACAGTTAGTAAGGTTTGTCACGTAAATAAAACATGCCAATTCGCATCCAGTAAAGCACACTGGTGTATTGGAGTGTAAACTCACAACATTTACAATTCGAGTATGATGTTTCGCCAGTAATTACAACTAGCATCATCACACTTTAGCTGTCACCTGATTTTGCCAGTTGTAATTACTGGCGAAACATTATACTCAAATTGTAAATGTTGTGGGTTTACTCTCCTACACACCGGTGTGCTGTACTAGTAAGTAATTGGCACGTTCTGTTTACATGACAAACCTTACTAATTGGCTGTGTCGGGTGGTGGCGGGTTTAACGACACATTTATATTTACGTGATCTAACCCAAAATCCTCTATTATGGATAATATTGGTCGCGAAAGCCTACTACGTGTTAAATTGATAAATGTATTTGTTCATAATGTATGTTGCACACAAAGTATTTACTTTGAACAGCATCATATGCTGTTTAAACATTATTTGACTTATCGTTAATAAAATGTTATTGGGGGTTAGAAAATTACGCAAATAATGGAAACAAAAGAGTGAATGATTATGATGGTAATGAGTACAGGTACTCATATGGTGCTCATGGCGAATGCTTACGCTCGTTCGCAAGTGGGTCGATAGGATGAGCAATACAATGTTACATCGGTAGCTGAAACATGAAATCTTTTTTTACATTCTTGATGATGACATAGGCTGAAGGTTACGTGTATTCCATGAAAAGCATGGAGGTGGCCAAAGCAAGTGCAGGCCCAATGTGCCCCTGCCCAGCAGTGGGCACATGGACACAGGGCTCCTAGCTCCGAGCTCCGTGATGGCCAAGTCGTGGTGTCCCAACCCCGAAGGCTGGGTCGTTTCAACCTCAGCGGACGCCAAAATTTGGTTGGGTCACTTTTGTGTGTACTTAGCGTATATATTTTACATGATCGGTGTCTCCCCGTCTGTTAACAAATGCACAGTCAACACAGTCGCAAAGGGCACTCATGTTTTGTCATGAATTGGCCAAGCACAGTGCGGCATTACCACGCTCATATGGAGTTCAAACAGCCTCGCAACATACAGGAAAACTGCACAAAGGTTATATTATGTACACAATGTGTGTATGAGTGTCGTATTATGTAGGATGATTCAAAATGTCAGCACCCTGAATGCAATAAACAAATCACCACAGCATGCAAACAGCCCTGTGTTTGTTCTATATATACTGGTGTGATGCACATATGGCATTCTGTATTAACAATGAAAAAATGCTTCACAATTGAACATCAATGGAAGGTCACACTGGACATTATTATATTGGACGCATATTAGAACTAATATATATTTTTAAAAAATCACCATATTTATCGTTAACACATAATAAATATAATATGGTTGAAAAGGTTACAGTAGAAACATTTACTGTGAAGCCATTCCAAATTTCTGCGCTGTTCTGAAGAAGGGCGAATAACTGAACATCAAATTATTAAGTATATTTTTTCTGTTATAAGGTAGTGTTCAAGATCATTGTGGTGATTTAGTTTTTTTCATGCCAGTTGACCAATTCCAACACAGTCTGTTATAAATCCTGCTCACCATTCTCAAATAGAAAAAAAACCAGAGATTTGAATGATAGGTTAAATCTATGCAATCCTCTCTGTGTTGTCTGTATTGTATTTTACAGGTTCAATTTGGGCGACAGGGTGACACAATGGTAACCTTCGTGCCTCATAGCAAGAAAGCCCTGATTTAGATTCCTGACTCGGCCACTTTTGTATGGAGTGTGGATGTTTTCCCTCTGTTCTGCATGGGCTTTCTCTGCACCCTCCAGTTTCCTCCCATAGCAATCAAAAAACAAACAATGTAACAGGTATTGGCCATACATCCCAATGCTAAAAATATACCTGCAATCTTCTTGGTTCTTTCGGTCAAGTCACGTAGAAGGGAAGTAATAAAATAATAAAAATTAAACATAATAAAATAATTCTCACGACGTTTCGGCCACAACGCAAGCAGCCGTCCTCAGGTGAAGACCTGATCCCTGCAGTCACGAAAGCTTTAAATCGAAATATACCTGCAATGTTCCCTATTTTGGATTACACACAGAAGCAACATCTCCCCATTCTGATCAAACTTGGCAAGGACCCTCCTGAAAAAGTATTGAAACTTTCCTGGATAAACCAGCATTAATATGGGAATAATACTAGTGAGTGAAATTGTCACGAATGTCTCCCTTCATAACTGGGATCAGCTAAAGACATAGACATGGCAGATTATATTTATCTATGGCACCATTGCTCGACCTCACACTAGCCCAGTGATGATTGTAGATGTTTACAGTTAACATCCAGCTCTTCAAGTTGCCAGACAACAGCTTCAAGGGACACCAGGTGCCTACTGCAAAGAATGCGATCACTGAGCTAATATGGAATTCAGGAGTTTATGATGCATTCAAGAACCACGGACATAAAACACTTCTGTTGCACAAAACTTGGCAATGCTTTTGATTTTGGTTTACGGGCTTTAGCCTATGTACCACTTTCCGAACTGCCCAAGTTTATTGAGTGCCCTCTGATTAAAAGCATTTCATCTTAGTGAATATTTGCTTTGTGCAGGAAGCTGAGAGTTATGTTTTAAAATTGATATCTTAGCGGCATCTGTAAACCGGAGTAATTAAAATAATTGCCCAATGGTGTTTTAATTCTTGAACATGGACAATTCAGTCTCTAAAGCCTAAATCCAAGCAGTCGAGCAGTCGTCATATCAGAGAGATTTTTTTTGGCACAGGATTTTTCTTAAAAATACCTTCAATGGCATTTGTTGATTCATAGCCAAATAACTAAAACTTGTATTGTTATGCGGTTGTAATCCTTCATTACTGCCCTCGGGCTGGGTAGGGGTGTCGGGAGGAAGGAGGTGACGGTGGTATGGGGGGGAGGGGATAGAAGTAAATATTGTGGGATTATTTCCATCATACTTCAAGCATTACCCAGACTTTTAAAGCAGCATGCCATAGCTTTGAAATAAACAATGATGGATAAAATGAAGGAACTGATTCCAAGAACACAGGATGAGATGTTACTATCCTTTGTGCAAGCACTTCCAAGAGTTCATGAACAGTGAGCCTGGTGAAATTTGGGGAGCACATCGTCAGTAGTGTACCTTTGGTTCCTAGGGTGTTTCGGCCTTTCACACTATACACCCTCCCCAAAGGCGGCCAGCGACAGGGTGATCAATCCTACGCTTGCGTCCCATTCCCAATTAGTCATAGGAGTTGCCTTGTTGTTGATAGCCAACATCCCATGGGACTATGCATGGCAGGGGCGTCCTCCTCCCTGAGTCAAGCATTGTTGACCACATACCTCCTGGGCCTCTCATTTCGGGGCCCAGCTGGGGTCTTTCCTCTTCATCCAGAGCCACTGACTGCTGCCTTCTGCCGCCTCCGATACAGCTCTGATTACAATTATGCAGGAAAGCTTCACCGAATCTTTCAGCTCTTTTTCAGGATCCAGCTACATTGAGATATTGGGCCAATTCCATTCAAGAGTATTTTGCTATGTGTGGATTTAAACCACAGTACTCAGAGAAAACTCACACACGAGAAAATAACAATGAAAGCTCCACAAAGATGGATTTAATCCTCTTACAATATTGCTATCTCCCGGCGACCTGGGTCTTTGAGTTTTTGAGTTTCACAAATCTGTACGTTCCACAAACCCTTGCCTCCAGTGCTGTATCAGAGGTTCCCTTCGTGGTGCATGACTCACTGAATTATCACATTGAATATCTATAGCGCACGGATAATATGAAGCGCGGATGGTAGAGGTGGACCCGAGGAAGTAGTCATAGTATGGGAGAAGCAGTGGTGCCTTTACTCGTATGCAAAATAGGTTCCATTACTCAATTGTGATAGCAATAATTACCACCTACTGGCAGACTAATGAACATTTGCATGCTGGTAGTTGCTGTGTACTACCCAGGGACAGCTGCCATTAGGGGGTTATCTAGGCTAAAACCAATCGACTAATTTTTACCTTATGGACACAATATAAATGAAAGTATTGGTATTATTTGTGTACCCGCAAAGGGCCGCAACTTTATGGATCCCAAATGTCTCTATGCCAACTCTCTCCATGTCTCTGTTGCTTTGTATGTGTGTCTCTCCTCTCTCCATGTCTGTCTCTGTCTATCTCTCTCTCCACGTGTATCTCACTGTCTATTGCCGCGTGTCCAGGGCACCCTTCCCACATCTGCATAGGATCCCAATTAGCCGTGAGGTGGCTCTGTTCAAAGGCCATTATTCAGTCACACACGCACGCAGAGCTGACAGTTACTAAAGCAGCTACTCCACAACTACAGAAACCATATCACATTTATTGAAAATAAGCATGTACTT